GCTAAACGACATCCTCACCTGAAGGCACATTGCTTTCATAGTTGGTTTAGTTGTCAATAGGAATCAGTGATACAGATCGTTAGACAACTCGAGCCTGAAAACAAAATAGAAAAGTCGATCGAATCTTGAATGGTTTCATCCATGATTCTATACTTCTCTACTACATTCTGCAGGACAAATAACATTGCGTGAACTGTGCAGCAATATAGAGAATAGGGGGAAGCCAGACAGAAAAGCACATGGAAAGTAGTTTGAATATTTGCAAACCCTGATAGATAAATGTCGTGGACTCACACATTTGTTATCGGCGTCTCCTCGTCGTTTTGTTCCAACAAGACTCTCAAATAATAGTCACCTGATAGCAGAGATACGTTACTGAGTTTGATTCCTATCGAGGAATAAGGGGGGGACGCTTTATGAAGAACTGTTAAAAAGCTAGAGCAGTTAGGCTTATCACTAACCTATTTCAGTTCATCAGCTAAACATTCATACAGGACTTCAAACTAAAGGTGATTCCAAAAGACAACGTAGTTTCCACTCAGATCTTTTTCCATTGCAAATGCGTGCAAATCAGATTCGAGTGCCCCAGAAGTTCCTCTCGCGTCTGTCACATTGAAAACATAAGAAATTGTTTCATACTCTTTTACGAGAACAGTTTAGAGAAAGAGGTCAGGACTATTGAATTTGTCTTGTTATACTCATAGCGACAGGAAATCCTCCATTACATTTCCATTCCTATATTTTCAACGGAAACTAACCTTAACTTCGAGACTCACCTTGTAATTCCAAATCAGGTTGTACGCTGTCAGATCTTGACTGAATCTGTAAAAAAGATCCGCTTAAATATCATTGCTTTTTCATCTTTCAAACGACTAGAACATTTTCCCATTTTCTTAATATGAACACTTACTTGTAATAAAAAAACTGGATTTAAATTCTCACATCTTTCCTGGATTTGAATCCTATTTTTGTCCTCCAATGCGAGAGATATCCTTCAAGTTGATTCCTCAACGTTCCCCTCGTTTTTCCAGAGCTCTAAGACACAAGTATAGCACGTGAAATAACAGGCTTATACGTACATGCAAGCATGCATTATGAAATTTTGGAACACGATTGTTGATTTAAAACGTACTTCTGCAAGCTTTACATTGTCACGAATTGATAAACGATCTTCTTCAGTCTCTGGTGGCTGAAGGAAAGATAAAAACTTTCCAACAAAATTGTTTCTTTACAAAAAGGTTTTACACTTCTGAATGAATTACCATTTAATTATTTCCTCAGTGGGGCAGTTGGCACAGTTTAAGGATGAATGATGGAGTTTAGTTACCAAAGCAGTTGATACCCTTAGTCATGAATACGATTGGTTAGTCAGAATCACCTCAATGGGTTTATGTAAATAATGGCCCTCGCAAAAAAGTTTTCAAAGATTTCTTACTTCGTCAGGGCTTTCAAGGTAATAGAGCAAACCAGCAGGCTGTGAAAATCGTATTCAAATTTATTACATAATTGTTTATGAACCAAAAATTATGAACAGGAAATCTCGCATTTAAACTTTCTTGTATATTTTAGACATTAAAAACTATAACTACTTTAATACGAACATTATTCTCGCAAGTAATGCCATTGCTGTTGGATGATGCTATGCCAACAATAATGATTATAAATTACTATGGAGTATGCTTGTTAGTCTCAATTGAACTATTTACAGATGGCTAGTATATAGAGGATTATAAAATCACAAGTTTTAAGATGAATCTGAGAATGTTGCTAAAATACAACTCAGGTCCTGCGGATGGAATAGAGGCTATACCTCTGCAACAATTTGTTAATTTATCACACTAATTCGCACCTGTTCAATAGCGAACGTCTATCAGTGCTTTGCGTAAACATGGCCATGCGTAAGCGTTTTGGTAGAGCGCCCTCGGCAAGCGCCAGAACTTGTATTTTTGCCGCGGTTTCTTCATCAGCTTCCTAAAGTGAAGTTCTAACTAAATATTAACAGATGATTTTAGGCACTTCACACGATGCAGGAATATTCTTGAGGTTTTAAAGGGTCTTAATTTCGAGTGGTATTATACGCACTTCAAATTCAAGCAGGGAACAGTTGATGGAAAAATGAGTCAACTGTACGTCCTCAGTGACAAGAGCATTGCACCGGCATCGCAAAAGCGTAGGTTCGATTCCTGCCGGAGGATCTATAGTTCACTCATTTTTCCGTCATCTGTTCCTGGCTTGATTTGAAGTGTGTATAATACCTCTCAAAATTAAGACCCTTTAAAACCTCTTAAATATCAACTGAACTAATATGTACATTCATCACGGCTAAAAAATGCAGAGCGTTATAAATGACGTTCGTCAAAGGCAGAAAATTCTCAATGGATGAATGAATGAATAAAACGTACCTCGATTATCGCCTTCAGAACCATGCCAGCACCTTTCACAATTGTTGTCGACGGATGCTGAAATTGTTGAGGAACGAATTCAAAACCACGATTGGTAAGAACCATTAGCGGGGCAATAGTAAAACATACATAAGCGAAGAAATGGTAAAATTGGTACTATTATTTAGTTTTGTCGTAAACCTACCTGGAACAATCGATAAATGCAATGACCCATTTCTAGACAAACAAATAACAGACTTCATGAGTTGCTCCTATGCATGGGTCAAGCTAGTGGACGTGGTAAACTTCACCAAAAAGGTAAAGAGAGAAAGGCTATTTAATCAACTCTCAACCTCAGTCAAAGAGCCATAAACTACCAAGAAGACAAGTTGAATGAAAAGCTCCTCAAATTTCTTTGTAGCATACCTGCAACTTTCTCCAGTAATTTCCCAAACTGTTCATCATCTGTTGTCTCACTAAGAGGAATATGCAATAGTCGATTTATTGTAACAGACTACATGAGTTGATTCAAAATATTGGAAGCAATCACACCTTACTATTAGTTTAACATGAATGTCCAACTTCACCCCCGTATTATTTTAATATATTGCAAAGCAACTAGAACAAACCTGTAAGGAGGACACAGAGCAAACGTCAGAAAATCAAGCAATCCACTTATAACTAAAACCCCAGTAGAACGAATATAGAAGAAAAGTTTTCATGGTTAATCTATTTCTTGTGTTTAGTTAGAAAGGTAGTTCAAATTAGAAAGGCAGTTGCTACGAATCACTTGCTGGGTTTTGCAAGGGAATTTCTCTTCCAAAACAAAGCTATATACATACAAGAGGGATGGAAAATAAAATGCAAGGGTTCAGCATAGATTATAGGCAACCAACACCGCACATCTTACCACATTTATCGTGAGAATTCCAACAAACTGCTTAGAAATTTTTCAGAGGATAACAAAGAGCTTTTGTTTATCTGTTCTTGTCGAATGTCATAGTTATCGTGCGTTGGCTATATAAAAAAACAGAATTGGTTTCGATAAAATTGGATCCTGTTAACATTCAGATTTCAAAGTTGGCTGAGTTTATGTGGATTGCAAGTTAAAGGGGTAACACTAATGACAGTGACAGATTTGGCAACATATTACCAGGAAATTCATCGTTAAAGTGTTGGCGCTTTCCTTTATACGGAAAAAACGGCCAGACCGGTCCTATTGTTGATCTCGGTACAGACAGATTACTGGTATTTTAGAGTGTTTCAAGAACTCTGCGTTCAAGTATATCGTTACTTGCATCTGTCTAGCTCGGAAATTTCGCAACTATATTCTTAACGAAATACTCTATTTTAAATTTAAATATGACCGGTCTGACCATTTTGGCCGCTTAAAGGAAAGCCCTCTCTTTACCTGCATCAGAGCACACAGCATGTCGACAGCGGCGTGAGTCACGGCTTCATTATTCCTCTTCAAAGCTTTCACAGTTTTCACACCAACCTTCTCATAGAAGCTGTAAAAACAAAACAGAAACACGGTCTAGAGAAAGTGAGCTGGTTGAGTAAACAGCGTGTGTTGTGGTTAAAGATAAACGTTTCTCACCTAGTGAGCGTTGTGAAACCTGCTTTGGATCCAACCTAATGTCTCAAAGCGTGAAACAGTGCTTCGAGATCTTTATCTGATATTTTGTTTTGGTCTCCTGCAAATAGACGAAACATTTTAACTATTTTATGTATATATTGAACACCTGTGAAGGTAATAGCAGTCAGAATATGTATATTTTAGGGGTGAACACTAAATATATTTATTGGCAAAGATATACAATACCTTCGTGAGCAATGAGCATTGTGATGGCATTAATGATAAGTCTTTCTTTATTCTCCGGGAAAAGTCCTTACAAAATATTTTAAATGGCTATTTTGTCCCCACTTTCTGTATTGAGGTCAATTTACGATCCACGACGCGGTTAACTGGCCTTGTTCGACGTCGCTAGTCAAATATTTGCTTGAAATAACCTACGGGATATTAATTATACTGTCAGGACTTCGAAATATCCATACAAACGTTTCAATGTCATTTGCTGTCGACGCTATCGACTATCAAGTAAACTCGAGTCCGTACGTACATGGTTATGATTATAATAAGCTTCAATCTGCCAATTTAAATTATTCTCGCTTCGTTTATAACGATTATTGTTGTAAATCTAGGTCAACTAATGCATACTAAAATATGCAGAAAACTAACCTGCGTATGAAAAACACGTGAGTGGAAAACAGCCTTAATCCAGATTTTGACAGAACATTAAAACTCAGTAAAAATGCAATAATATTCTCTACACAGGATTTTGTCTGCAGAAAAGTACAATATAAGAAATTGTCAACTTACGTCTTGGGTGACTGCATGAAGTAGACCGCTGTAGGAAATATTGCAGTTAAATCTCTACACATCTTCGGTTAAATTTCCTGCAAGGAACCAGTAATAAGACAATATAAGCTTTTGGAGATATTTCAAAAATTTAAAGTGAAATAAAAAGAGAAATATTTCACCTGGAGACGCAGCGAGGAATTTTAAATGACTGCTTTCTACTTCTTCGTCAACAACGTTATACAATGGACCCCAACGATAACCTTGAAAAATATATCATCTTAAAAAAACAATTCTTCTTTTGCTGTATGTGATGTATTGGACTGACTAATAGGAATACCTGACGAGAAGTGTAATTGTTTGTGTGTTATATGAGATCCCATACGTCAGGAGGAGAATGAAATGAGGGTTCGTATTTACGGCAATCATAGCAGTGCGAGATTTTCATCAGGAAAATTTTGACCATAATTTTCGCTCAATCATCTATGAAAAAGCGTACAGTCTCTTCGTTGGGGTCGTTTTTACACAAACATCTCCATTTCCACTGCCTCTAACCCCGTGTAGCTAACCAGCCAATGATATATCCCTAGATTGGGTGAAATAAAAACATTCAGAACAAGAAATATTTTATATAGCTTCATACAAAATCTGCTTTTTTAAACTACCTGTCGGAAGACGAGAAATTTCTCAGCTGACCGCTTGTGTATTCCAGCCCGAACAACTGAGGATGGTCTCGATAGCTAATTATTGAAAATATCTGACAGAAAAAGAAGTTTTAAAACTATGATATACTATAATACACAAGTCTTAACCAAACGGTATATTCTGGAAAGTAACTGCAAAAATAAAACTATTTTAAGTCGGCTGGATACTTTTTTGCAATTGGACATGTTCAAAATGGAAACGTGAAATAAAAAAGATGATAAAAGCAGTAAACTTGAATCCAGGTCAGAAGACATGGAGTGTTTGGAGTGTTTGGAGTGTTTGGAGTGTTTGGAATGTTTGTTTTTTTCTTTCAAGGTCTGAGATGAACAATTACTGGAACTGACATGGAATGTCGCATGACTTACTGAGCTAAGGGGATGAAGGCTGACGATGTTGAACATATATTATAGCAATAATAGTTTATAGTTTATTATATATTATAGTAATAGAGTTGATGTTCACGGGCATAAATGTGTTTTTGGCCCTCCTCGCGGAACACATTTTAACCCTCGCTACGCTCGGGCTAAAATGAGTTCGAAGTCGGGCCAAAAACACATTTATGACCGCGAACATCAACCCTATTGTTACATTATGATCACTATAAAAAACACATGAGTATATACAAAATTAGTAAAATACAATAATTAGTAAATACAAAATTAGTAAAATACAATAATTAGTAAATAGATTTGAATAAATATAGTTCACCTGGTGCAAGGCACTTTTTAATGATAACTCCAAGCTTATACTTTCTGGATAATTTAATACATTCTATAGGGTTTAATGATCAATATAGGGATAAGTATCATAAAATTGTTTGGCTGTTGGGGTGTATAAACTATCAAAACTACCAAATTATATCCTGTCAAAATTTCGAATTTCTAAAATAATGCCGGGTTTATGGTCATTTGAATTTGCTTGCTACTTTTATAATATGCAAAAAAGTAGACGGTAGACACTGATTTTAAGTTCAAATTTATAATATTTCGAAAATATATTATGCATTATTAATTATATAACATACCTTGAATAAATTTGAAGTTTTACATGATTCAAGAACATTTTCATTTGTATACCGAACTGTTTCGCCTTTGGATTTGATTCCGTTCATTAGTCAAAGTACACTTCAAGATGTCGGGCTTCCCTTCAAAATTGTCGAGGCCAGGGATATGACGGTGCTAGTGCTGTGTCCAGCCAGGTAAAAGGTATTTCTGGGAGAATATTTGAGAAAAACCCGAAGGCGTTGCATGTTCATTACTCCAGTCATCGTTTAAACCTTATTGTTGCCAAAGCGTGTTCAATTCTTCCAGTGAAAAATATGTTGAATCAGGCACAAAATATCGCCAGCTTTTTTATCAGTTTCCCTATCCGCTCAAAGTATCTAAGTAAAAAGATGAAAGAGTTTGGTTTAACCCGTAACAAGCTCGCAAAGCCTTCCACGACACGATGGGTAGAACGAATAAGATCCCGCGATGGTTGTTTGGATGCATTCAAAGTTATCTACAAAACACTCAATTTTATGCAGTTTGGAGGATCGCAGGAAGGGCCATTTCCTAGATTAGCTAGTGACGCACAGTCTCATTTTCGCAACGTGGAGAAATTTGAATTTATGGCTGCTCTCATTATCACCCAACATGTTCTGGATCATACTTTGTCATTGACGGTCCAATTAAATAAGAAAAAAAAATCGATATTGCGGAATCAATAAAACAGATTAATCTTTTAAAGGATGAAATGGCAAAACTACGTGCTCTGTAGATTTATTCCACAATGAATACTACGACAAGCTGTTGGAACTAGCTAATAACCTCGACGTGGCTGAGTGTTTTCCCCGGGTATGTAAAGCTCAAACAAAATGTGATAATCATCGTACCAGTACAGCAGGTGGTTACAACAGATTAACAGTAACCATTAAGAGTCGTGCATAGGCCACGTGATAACGAAACATTCTGAGCTCATCAATGAACAATTATTGTAAAGGTTTTATTGTAACTCATAGGAAAACCTAAGGATATATTTTGTAAAATCTATTATATTACGAGTGTCTTTCCCTAAGTCTACCGACCCCTGAATTCCCCACGCTATCGTCACCCTGTAATAAATAAGTAACGTTGCAAGTCCTCACCTTCAACCACAAGGATTAAATTACGTAATTCGAAGTGCAAAATTGAGATTGCCGGTTTCTGAGTTTACCGGTTTATAATGCTCAGTATTTAATAATCCGTATAAGACCAATTTATCATTATTATTACTTGACTTACGGATTCATTAAGTTTATCCTCGTCTTAACTCAAAAAAGTTTTCAAAGGACTTGCATCCAGAAGGGATTTACCAGGAACAGGCTAAAATTAAACAGATGTTGAGATTAATGCACGATGATGATTCGTGATCTTAAAATTGCTACCTTTTGAAACTCTTCACGAGTTAATAAGCCTTGACTGTTCCCTGTGAAAGAAAAATAGGTAAATATAGTCATATTATAATATATATTTCCTCCATATTGCAAAGGTAATTTCGCTTGCCTTCAGTTTCTTCCTTGTGTAAAACAGTGTCTTTGGAATCTGGTACGACATCAATCTGAAACGATTGTAAAATGAAAAAGCTAGTCTAAATCAAAGATCTCTTTCTTTTCTGCTTCTCCTGCCAGTCATGTTAGTAGCAATATAAGGGATGGATAGTGAATGTTCTTGCACGAAGTAAATTTCATGCAAAGCGAGTTTGAAGAGAAATTCTTACCATAAAAGCGCTTGGTCCATATCTCGGACTACGACTCAAATATCGAGTTCGTTGAACAAATGCCGAACCAAGATTCAACTTTTGACCGGAATCTTGTAATAAAATCGACGAGGGTGAAGATCTGCCGTGTTCTGTAAGCAGCATCTTTTGTTCTGCGCTGTCTAAAATGTTGGCAGATAATTTGTTCATTTCGTAAATGCGCGAACAATGGCCGATCTGTTTTAACATTACAAACCTGACTCCTTGAGTTCGGTTTTTTTCATTTCAACATCATCCCGGGTATCTTCAATATTAGTTTCCTCATCTTCTCTACACGATGCGAGGCGATCTTTGACAAGATCTACAATCAATGTACGCTGTCTGTGCTCTTGCTAAGAAGTTCTGTTGTAGTTTCAAGGCGTTGTCTGGCTCCTTCTTTAATGAGTTCGGCCGATAAATCATCTGAAATACAACAATATCAATTTGACATTCCGCCAACGGAATGCCCAACCAAAACATTGAACAGGTTTGACCCATCGTTGACCTTACCAAAGAGTTGTTTTGGAATTAAACTTTCATAAATCTCAGTCTTTCCCACCGCTGGTCGTCACAAGATGTTTGAGTCACAAGATTTCTGTATTGAGCCTACGGTACCAGTGGGCTTTAAATCGCGGGTAAGAAGGTCAGATGCTTTGGTATCGAATTTTGTGTTTGGCACCTGGCTAGAATCATCTGCACGAGTTTTTCTATCAGTTGAAGAAGCCTGGAAATGACAAATACGTTCCTAAGAGCTTTCACTAGAAGAATATTAAAACTTGGTCGCTCTTGCAAATATATCTATTGAAAATTCAGCAAGCAATCCCCCTGGCAATAGAATGACATGTGGACTTACTTTCGTAATAAATGGCACGAATTGTTTTCTTAACAATAGCGGACAGTTGACAAACCAGGATGAAATGACATTATCAGCAAGAGCTACAGTGTATTGAGAGTATCTAAGGTGAAACATATCAGTTCGTTTATATTTTAATCATTTTGACAAAACCAATAATAAAAAGTTTCAGATGTTATCGCGTTGAGCCAACTTCGATGATTCTGTGTAAGGGAAACATATTCCAAAGACTTGTTTCAACTGGATCGCTGTGAAGTTTTTGTACAAAGCACAAAGCTGTTACAATGCGATTTAAACGATTTAAAAGAATGTTACCAACTTTTCGCCGAATACGATTGTGTGTTTACACAACCTAGCTCTCTTTAGGGGGTACATTGATATTTTGTAACAGATTTCATAATTTACGTAACTTCAAGAAACATACCAGAGGGAAATTCTAGCAGTGGTATGGCAACTTGAGACGTTGGCGAAAGTTTAGTAAACTTTTCCAGATATTGTGGGAGCAGTCTAAGGACAGAAAATTTAGTAATTATTACTTAAAAAATCATATATTTGTGAAGGAGTATCTCGCATCACAAGAGACGTTACGTTTAGGCTGAAGTTTATTGAAAAACGTTTCTGTAAATTCACTGAGCACATTATCAAGGCACGATTTCAAATATCTTCAAATAAATAAACTTCTAAAATGCTGCAACTACTTAAATCAACTTCATTCTTACAAAGTGATAATGGACTAAAAAAACGTCTCAAATTCCAGACTATTTTAAGTAGCTATACCTTGCCATAACTGAAGGCATTTCTAACATACATATGGTGAGACAAGATACGCTTAACGTCGCGAAATGAGCAACCAAGTACGCATTAGACAACACTAGACGAAATATACAACAACGTTTAAGCAAGAACAGACAACCGCTGAAAATAAAGTCACGCAGATTCTTACCTGTTCATCTTGACCAATAAAAATGTGGTACGTACACAGCTCCGTTAATACCTGCACGTGTTACAATAAAATATCCAATTAAATCATTAGTATGGTATGATATAATTATGGTATAAATTGGTTATGGTATGGTGTGATATAATTATGGTATAGACCAATTTCGAAACTTAGTAACCGCGCCTTCGCTCAACATGGAAACGAGGCCTATTATGCAAAAAGAATATTTGTATTTTTTGCAGTACAAAGCTATTCGCCGAGTTATATGCCGTTTTTCGCCTTTGTTTGACATATTTTTCGATTCCTTTCAGCTTGGTTTCATCGTTGTTATCATAGTTTACAGGTTAGGAAGTTTTGCCTTTCAATTAAGGCGTTTTTGTGGTATTTTCATTAATCTTTTCGACTGCTTTCGTCGGGGAAGTATGGAAAAGGCCGACACAAACTCAGGTAAAAATTTAGTTTTTCCAAACTATTTCGTCTCAAGTTTTGAAAATGTATTTCAATTTTCTCCCTCTTATTTGTGCAAAATTTGGCGATATATATTTGGTGCAAAATCTATGTGTTTTATGTCAAAAATTATTGAAAAGTGACAATCAGATTATATAATTTTCAAACTTGATGACTAAAATGGCTTCATTTATTCAAATTTATTCACAAATATCACTGTATTTTTTTTTCTTTATACCACAGTAATACTGTTAAAATGGTCAAAAGTAACTGACTGAATGTTTTTGTTTATTTTCGTTTTAATAAAGTACAGACGATGCATAGCTTGCATGCCGGCCTGAAGGCCGAATTTTATAAAATTCGAATTCGAATGCATCTGAGTTTGCATCTGAATTCTGCATTTGTGTTAGTACAAAACACTATTCTTTCTATCTACTACCATGCAATAGATGTTTAATAAAGGTGAACCAGGAATACTTGAAGAGGAAAGGATTCCGTTCACCATCGTAAACGGAAAAACACTTGCGAACTCCAGTTTAAATATTTTTCGCTTTCAGCTTTGCCATCATGTAAAGGTGTATCTTAAAAAACGCTGCAGCTCGCATTGTGGCTACCTTTATAGTATGTTATTGCGTGAAAATGAATATTCAAATGGCAATTCAAAATAGACAATGATATTATGTCTTGGTTATAAGTATTTTACTATCCATGTCATGCATGTGTGTCAAGTTGAAGAGTTGTTTTGCTTTTCAGTCGGCATCACATCACATGTACTGTAGTCTATATACACAGGGAAAATAAACATAAAACTCCGTTGCTTATTTTATCTCTTATAGTTTCTGTCAACAGATTTCTACTATATTTTTTGCTGAGCTGTAAAATTGCTGTCAAATTACATCTTATCGATCGATAAAATTGGTATAAAAAAATTTTAGATGAGAAATGTGAACATGGTGGTTTGTTCGATCGTGACCTTTCAATAATTTTTGACATAAAAAACATAGATTTTGCACCAAATATATATCGCCAAATTTTGCACAAATAAGAGGGAGAAAAATGAAATACATTTTCAAATCTTGAGACGAAATAGTTTGGAAAAACTAAATTTTTACCTGAGTTTGTGTCGGCCTTTTCCATACTTCCCCGACGAAAGCAGTCGAAAAGATTAATGAAAACACCACAAAAACGCCTCAATTGAAAGGCAAAACTTCCTAACCTGTAAACTATGATAACAACGATAAAACCAAGCTGAAAGGAATTGAAAAATATGTAAAACAAAGGCGAAAAACGGCATATAACTCGGCGAATAGCTTTGTACTACA